TTTATTTGTCCAACTCATTAAATGATCTAAATCCTTTTGTAAAGCAGCAGCATCCTACTCACAGCCAGAAACACCCAAGAACCCAATATCATCAGCAAATGTAAGTAATTTATTGACCATTCCTTCATCTATGTTACTGATATAAATCAAAAGAGCAAAGGTTCCAAGACTGAGCCTTGTGACATTAATCGAGTTTGACTGAACTCCATTTAGAATAACCCTCTGCCTTCTTCCAATCAGCCACTCTTCTATCCAGTTACCAATGTATCCCCCACAACTATAGAGATAATTTTTTCTAAAAGCCTTTAATGTGGCACCTTGTCCAATACTTTCTGATAATCCAGTTACACCAAATCTACACCCTTACCCTCATCTACACAAGCAGTAACCTTTTCAATGAATGTCAAAAGATTTGTAAGGCATGATTTTCCCTGAGTAAAACCATATTAACTATCCAATAAAATTATAAACTTTGTTAAATGAATTGCAAAGCATCTTTTATCAGACTTTACTAAACTTTTCCCACAACTGATGTAAGACTAACAGGCCTATAATTACTAGGACAATTTTTATTACCTCCATTGAAAAGAGGAGTAACATTTGCCAACTTACAATCCTCTGGTGCTTGCTCACTATGCAAGGACATACAAAAAATAGTAGCAAGTGGCTCATATATTCAATCCTTAACCTCCTTCAAAACCTCTTGTGGAAATATTATCTGTCCCAGGAACCTTATCATCCTTTAAACTTCCCAAAATTATATCTAATTTTAGTATTCATCAATGCAATAGTTGTTAATAAGTAGAGCTACAACTACAGCATCAGAATTTAAAACAAAAAACAAAACAAAAAGACTCTTTGACAAAAAATATATTTCAGTGAAAGAATTATGGATATCACACAAAACAAATGTTAACTGCATTTCATAAAATATCTGCTTCTAACAGTACATTTAAGCACAACAAATGCATAAAAGCCCATTGGAGAACACTGGGGTGGAGTGGGTTTGGTGCTTGACAAGTATTTGAAAACTGCTACTGATTTCATGATGTGGCTGGAGGGTGTGAATATTTGGTTCATAAGTCTTTGACAGTTTCAAACATTTGTTTATTATCTTATCAATAGTATCTTCATCACAACACTTTTATGAGGCAGATGGTTTTACTGTCTGGTAATAACCTTCACTTTGCAGATGAGGGCATTGCTTTGGATTGGGTTAGAGTGTGGTTTTGAAGCCTGATGCATTCTAAATGATCTAATGTGCAATTTTTTTTCTACTTAAATAAAAACACCGTATGAAAATGTTGTGTCCTTTTGCTCTACAATTTCACTACTTTAATTTTTCTGTTCAAAAAAGCTTTTTAAAATATTCCAGCCATAAAAATACCCATAGAGGCATTGTATTATAAAACTATAATGAATTTTCTATGAATTAAAAATATAGTTGTTAAACATGTCTGCATCACAGCTCATATCTATTGCAACACACCAATGCATCAGCATATATAAATCAGTCAAATAAGTGTGATAATAATAATAGATAACACAATGAAATTTTTGAAAATGACATAGTCAATAAATCATCATACTGAGGCTAAATTGTAATTACTTATATTTCAAAAGTTAGTTACATCCATTTTTTTTATACCAAACTGTAACATTTTAATTTGGTGTAGATATTTTTTTGAGTAATGTTTAAAATGTTTTTAAACACGTTATATTACACAATGATAATTTCTATCTATCTATATACTATCTTATACCTCATCAAGCTCCAAAGAAAAAGTATACATATTAATGTATTTAAATACTCCTTAGATGTTTTATACCAAGTTATTTACCAGCCAAAAGTATAATTTTATATACCAAAACTTTCCCTTAGCCAAATAGAGAAATCTCTATACTTATGTACATACACAAAATCCATGTATGCACCTACACTGTAAGTATATGTGCATGTATATATCCACATGAACCACTTAAAATAATTACTAATATGTGCAAACACACAAATACAACTTACTTAACCTCATGTTTAAATTTAAATAAATACCTTAAAAAAAACTGTATGTTATTTGCATTAAAAAATTGTGTTATAATTTTAAGTTCTTTCTAAATGTAGGCATTACCACAATCACAAGTATGCATGTATATAACACATACTGATGTTTTACTTAATACAACCACTGTGATTAAGGTTATGTGCATAAATTTCTAATTAGCATATTTAAAATAATCAACTCTTTATCTTAGACAAAAAAGACTGAACGTAACTTGTATTAAAAATTATTTGTATTAAGAAAAAAACATATTTCAGTCCTTCATTGTCCACAGTATTCTGAGGCTGTGCTTTCTTGTTTATATGTGAGAATAAGTAATTCTTGGACTGTTTGTTGGCAGATAAAAGATAATTTCTGTTATGTTTCCCACACAGTATGATTGAAAAGAGCTGAATCCTGACCAGTGTTAATTATCCAAGTTAATACAGTCACAGTCTGGTACCTTTTACACTTCACAAACCTAACCCATTTGTCTTTACCTTTGACCAATCATGAGTAGCTGGTAGCTACAGCTCTTCTCTCTTGATTGCCTCTGTTGATAGATCCTAATGAAAGATGTCTTTGAATAGATGGTCAAAAAATTAACTTTGGATAATGACATTTTTGTTTGGCTTGCATTCACTATTTGTGAGAAATTCTTTCACTTATCAATTGTCTTGTAGCCTAAAGACAATATTACTATATATATATATATATATTTACTTTTATAGGATTCAACCACATAATGAGGCTATTTCCAAGACAAAATAAATGAAATAGTCTGCTGACGCATGTGTGTGTTAGAGAACAGAGGTCTTAACAAGGTGTGATAGATTTTTGCATGATTTTTGTTTTACCTATATCTCCCCTTTCTCCAACATCACCCTTTGGTCCAGGGATTCCATCAATACCGTCTAGTGCTGGAAGACCTGGATCTCCAGGGTAACCTCGATGTCCAGGCATTCCTGGTACCCCTTTATCACCCTGTACAACACAATAAAATAAAAATTACATACACTGAATTTTGATATTATCTTTTAATTTTCTTTAATGCAATCACAATGACAAATAAATCTGTTTATTATTTTATACTATATTTTAAAACATTTTCATCAAACATCATACAAATTTTTGGTTTTCTTCTTAGTGAAAATAATTTAGGATCTTTTATTCAAATACAGTTAAGTCATTATCTTCACATATGCTTGACAATTTATCCATGTACACAAGTTCACAACTGAATATTCTTACGTTGAATTGGAAAACAGTAAAGGTTTAATCCTATATAATTTCTCATTTGTTATATTGCTGAGAAATTAGGTGTGGATCTAATTTATTGTGCAGAAGTTACAAAACGAGTTTTCATAATAAAGTCAATTCAGTTTTTAATGATATCTCACCATTAATCTTAAGTGTAATAGGAAAGGTACATACGGGTAACTTATAATAATGATTTACTGGAAAGAATTTGAATACATTATACTGCCTAACCTTCCAGTCTCTACTCACACCAATCATATATGCATTTCACTCTAGGTTAACCAAATGTGTACAAACCAACCCTATATTGTAGAAGGAATGTTGACTACAATTCTGAATTTACTATGGGTATCTGCTCAAAATGTGAAGCTTTTAGTAAAAGGTACAAGTCTGTTATACACAAAAATTCAGATGTGTCACAAAAGTATTTGTACTCACAATATGTCTGTGAATTGATAACACCAGTCTTATTCAGACTCTGACAAGTCAAAATGTAAGGTGATATTCTTGTGAAGAATGAAATGGATATTGTATTTACACAACTGCTAGAACTTTCAGAATGCATATCAACAGGTTTTTTGTGTATCCCTATACATTATATCTGGTATTCTTCTCTACCACGAACTGTTACTAAATCAGCAATGTAGAATAAAATGAATAGTTGATAACTCTGATAACAAATACATATCATTGAATAGCATTCTTTAAAAGGTTGTGGCATGTGTACATTGATCCCTGCTGCGTATATAGGATAAAGCAAGTTTCATAGCAAAAACCGAAATGTACGAAACTCCCTTTTAATGTTTGAAAAAAAAATATTTTGTTAGATCATGTTTAATAATATGTTTTAACTGAAATTCTATATGTTAATGAATTTTTAGGAGCTTTAATTCACGTGTTAAAAAGTACTTGAATGTAATTCTTATGCAAAAACTTGATTCTGATAAGGTACTCTCCCTTCTCTCACAAAGTTAGTTTTTCTTGTTTTGTGCTGCCCTCTATATACGAACATTTTCAGAAATGCATGTCACAGTCCTTCATCCCCCCTCTGTTGGAATCCAAAGTTCCAACACATCTCTCATGTAAATCATCATGCATCATCTCTCCACTAATAGGAGAGCACTACTATCACGTAGAGCATGTTACTGCCTCTATGCGCCACTACCGAACTATCACCTTTCGTTTAGCAGCTGTCAAGTCCAGACATTATTTTTTACACTTTTCAGTTACCTTGAAGTAGTTTATTTTCCTCCTTTTTCTTAACTTTATTTATTACACTTCACAGTTGTGGAATTAATATTTTGATATAGCAATACATCCTTGTGTTTCCAGCTTATGAATTCTTAAGTTACAATCATCACTTCGTGTACTCCGCCATCTGATGCCGTATTTTCAGCTGCAGGCGATCCATCGGGAGATATATCATTGCTCATTTGCTGGGAGCTAACCTTTCTCGCCTACTTCGGCCACACATCCTACTGAAACTTTCGGGTTGAGCCAGGCTGAAGACGTTTTTGATCCCCCCCCCCGAGTTTGCCGCATCTTCCCATTCACTAACTGACGATTAAGCTTGTCCGTCATCAATTTTTTCAGACTTTATCTCTCAGGTATGTGATGTTTTGTCTCTTACCTGTTCCCTATGACCTTAGACCTTCTTTCTTACATGAAACAATTTCCCCCTCCCCAATATTAAGGTTCACATGGACTGTATTGCCTCTCAAATGGGGAGGGTGTTAGTATGCCTTGTCCCCCATGGACTTCGGATCTGTCCGCCCTTGCTTATCATCTGGCAGACTTTCCCTTTCTCGACCAACAGTTTATCGATAAAGGTGTATTCTAGCTGTTTTATTATTGGGGGGAGGGGCGGATCCAGATTACCCTGTTCAACGTACCTACATCCAATTTTCTCGCCTTTGTCTCATCCTCACAACCCTGTTAAGGTACTTTCCTCCGTTCACCTTCTGTCAGAGGTCCTTCACAGGAACTCTGAGGAATTTTCTGCTGAAATCTTCTCCATCCTTACTTCTATGTTGGCTTGTCTGCCATCTTCGGCTGTCGCGTTCTTGAGCCATGATGCGGTTTTGGCATGGACCCATCTCCAGGCTCCTTATGTAAGGGATCTTCATATGGCACTGTTTTTATGCCATTATGTGTTGGAGATGCGGGTGGCCTTGGTGGTAGCTCGTTTGTCGCAGTCATGACAGATCACGGGACCGATTTCTTTCCCCCGACCTTCCCCTTCCCAACCTCTTCCTGCCCCACCCTCCTGCAGTGCCACGGTTCGATCCATCAACAGTACTACTGGTGACTATGTTGTAGGTTCGAGCCCAGTGGGAGCTCGTCTCTTGAATTTCGTTCATCTGTGGGAACATCTTCCCACTGATGTCTGAGTTCACAAGGTACTCTTGAAGGGATATGTTATCCCCTTTCTCTCCTTTCCTCATTATCCAATGTTCCCTTCCTTTCTCCTCAGGATCCTTTGACATGCCAATGTCTGTCAGAAGCAGTTCAGGATCTCATCGTACAATAGGTTATCAAACCAGCTTCAACAGGTTTACAGGGGTTTTACTCCTGCCTGTTTGTGGTTCCCAAGAAGATCAAGGACTGGCATCCTATCATAGATTCATCCCATCTCTATTAGTATTTTCACACTCCTTGCTTTACCATAGAGACACACTTTTCTCTTCAGTGGAAATTTTCTCCAGGTATTTGGAATACCAAGGTAGACATTTCCAATGCTTACTTACACATTCCTGTGGCAGAGCATTCCTGTTTGTCAATCGGGGGTTGTGTACCAGTTTTGCACCCTACCTTTCAGTCTAGGCTCAGCACCATACGTGTTTTGTCATGTGGTCTGCTCCTTTGCTCAACATATTCATGCCATGGGGTTGCGCTTCCATGTTTATATGGATGACTGGCTTTTTCTTGCTTATTTTGAATGAGAATTAGGCTGTCACACTCATTAGCTCCTGGCTGAAGCTGCACAGGTGGCCTGGTTGGTCAAATTAGAAAAGTTTTTCTTTTGTCCTACCCAATACCTTATCCATTTGGGTGTTTTCTTCAACACCCATCTCAGTCAGGCCCAGCCTTCTCCTCTCTACATCCATTCTATGGAATGGGCTGTTTGGAAAGCCCTGTCTGTTCCCTCACTTATAGCTCGTGAGGTTCTATAGCTTTTGGGGATGTGATATTCCATGACCCCTCTCATACCCCTGGGCAGGGCCCATATGCAGTTTCTTCTATGGGTCCTTCACAATCAATGGAGCCTTGCCCGGGATCCCTTGGATACTTCTACATCCCTTCCCTCATCCCTTGTAGACTATCTCCATTGGTGGTTGAACAGGGTCCACATGTCTGTGGGGGTCCCATTTCCTTCTCTGTGGCCAGAGGTGCCTGGGTGGATCACCAAGAGGTTTTGGGTCATTGGTCTATGGAGGAGAGTTCAAGAACATTGATGAGGTACCTGATGATGACAAAACC